AATCTCGCTGCCAGCCAGCAGTTCTACAAACGTTTCTCTGGCAATTTTGAAGTCGTCTGGTCTCGTCCAGGCGCGGGAGCCCTGAGCCTCTCTGGGGCTCCACAACCCCACCTGCACCCTCAGGTTCTGCCCTTCTTCTCCCAGCTGCTATCACCAGCTCGCAGGCCCCGAGAGCTGCCCTAATCTTTCTCCCCTGCAGGAGCAGCAGTGCTGGGGAGCACCGGTGCTGTCCACAGCAGTGTCACCGGCGCCGCGCCGGCACGGCGGGCTGAGCTGTGACACCCAACCTGCCCAGGGCACCAGCGTGTCCCACATAACCCACCCCGGCTCTGGGCCCTGAGCACAGCTCCATCCCCAGCTCGTTTTACACCAGCCCACCAGGCACGCCGGGGACACGCCGGGGACAGTTCTGTGAGAGCCAGGCTGGCGCTGGCAGCCGTCGCTCGGTCTGGAGGGGCAGGGAACAGCCCAGCCACAGCAGAGCTGCCAAGGGGGAAGGAGGACAGAGCAGTGACTCAGTGACTGCCACAGCGAGCAGTCTGGCGAGAGAAGGAGCTCAGCTGCCTCCTGGGACCCCAGCATGGCACCGGCGTGGGGACACAGGCAGTGATGTCCCCACGCCCTGGGTCTGGCTGAGCTGGGTCTGGCTGGAGCTCCTCTGGCCCACAGCAGCCCTGAGAGCAGAGCCTCTGTGGTGGCTGGAAGGGGCTGATAACACCCTGTGCTTCAGCTGAGCACACTCACAGCATCAAAGCTGCCCCCACACTCCCGGGAGCCGGGCTGGGCAGCACTCTGGGAGGGGACACTGCTGGGACTGTCCCAGGCTGACCAGAGGGATATGGCACGCCACACAAAGCAAAGAGGAAAGAGGAACAGAGGGTGGGCAGTCCTAACTAGGACGTTTGCTTTCCGGAGCAGCCACTGTGCTCCTGAAGGTACTTCCCAGGAAGTGGCTGGACATCATCTGCTGATGGGAAGTAGAGAATAAATCTTTTGTTTCCCTTTGTTTCCGCACATGACCTTTGCTTTTGCTTTACTAAACTGCCTTCATCTCTATCCATGAGGATTTTTCCACCCTAGTTTCTCCTGCAGAGGAGGGGAGTGATAGAGCAGCTTGGTGGGCACCACGAGCCACAGAATCATGGAATGGTCTGGGTTGGAAGGGACCTTAAAGCCCATCCAGTTCCACACCTCCCACCCCGGGCAGGGACACCTCCCTCTGTCCCAGGCTGCTCCAAGCCATGTCCAACCTGGCCTTGGACACTTCCAGGGATGGGGCAGCCCAGGCCCAAGCTGTGCCAGGGCCTCACCACCTTCTGAGGACATTATTTCTTTCCTTAATCTAAACCTGCCTTCATAAAACCACTCCCCCTTGTCCTGTCACGACAGGCCCTGGCATGAAGACTCTCTCCATCTGGGGGAGATGGGCTCCCAGAGAAAAGAAGGAAAAGCACCAAGGAACCTTGGGCTCAAAGCATACACTTGAGGTTACTTTCCAGCCAAGGTGAAACGGCCAGGATGCTCCAGGGAGGCTGGGAAGCCATTTGGTGCAGACAGACAACAGGACGTGCCCCAGTGGAAGGTGGCTGATGGAATATCACTCTCTGCTTTCTGGCTTCACAAGGAAGGGCCAGCATGGGCTTTGGAGGCACAGGCAGCCCCAGCTCTTCTCCCAGGTGGGTGAGAGCTGGTGCTCACCACAAAGCTCTGCCTGCTGGGCCCCAGCACAGCCACTCAGGCACTGCTGACCACAATCTGTTATTTACATTCCTGACTCACTCCTTCCTTTCCCCTGAAACGAGGAGGTATTCACAGTCCAACTTGAATTCCCCTTAACGTCTCTGGGAGCCACGTGAGCTGAAAGGTCAACCCTGAGTGAGGAAAGCAGGTTTTCCTGCTGGGAAACCCCTCAGCTTCCCTATCTCTCCCTGGGCATGGTGTGAAGGAACCCTTACAACAGCCCTGCAAAACCTTGGAGAAGGGCAAGAGGGCTCCTGACTGGGGTGTTTTGGGAAGCTCTGACCTTCTGCAACAGTACAACAGGCTGGGACAATGTCTGGCTGCAACTTGCAGCTGCAAAGGCTTCTCCTGGCCAAGTCATGCCACCACCAGACGTGGTTGTAGCTGCTCCTCACTCCCTCTTCCCCTGCACAGCCTTAAAATATCATGTGAGTGTTAAGTAAAGCAGCCAGCAGCAGCTTCCCCTTCTCCACGGGGATTAACGAAGCAGGAACAGCCCACGGCTGCAGGACCTGCTGGGGAGACATCCCCCTGTGCCCTGTCAGGTGAGGAATCCTCCAGAAACCAGCATCCCTGAGGCATTCTACAAAAGCTGCAGCAAGAGGGGAAGGGCTCAGCTCACACCTTTGGTCCCACAAACAAACTCACAGCGAGAGCTGCTGGAGAGAGGACAAATCCCTGGATGGGACAACAGGAGGATGCATTTAAGTCTGAAGAGCTGCCTAAAGCATCAAGAGCAACAGGGGGAAACTGAGCAACAGGACAAGGTCAAGCTGCATCCCCTGGCCTGGAGCAGAGCCCTGGGAGCACTTCTGAGCTCCTCGACGTGGTCACCCTGCACTGCCCCAGGGCGGCACCCTGAAGTGACTCAGGGTTGAAGGCTCAGGTTTGTAGGGACCTGTGGCTCCATCACCAGCTTCAGCCCAGCAAGGAGGCCTGTGGAGCCAGGGCAGGGCAGCCAGGAGGAGCTGAGCTCTGGTGCACAGCCCACGCCGCAGGAAAAAGATGTTGGCCCCCTCAGGGTCACCCTGATGCATCAGTAAATGCACACTGACAGCGTGGGGAGAAAGAGGAAGCACGGCAAACTCCTGTTCTCTTTATCAGCCCCTTGCTCTCTTCCTGGAAGTGGGATGCTGCAGACCCTGTCTGGTTCAGGGAGCTGGAGCTGTGTGAGCCCCATCCTGCCATTCCAGCAGTGCCCACCTGTGTAAGAGCTACCCCTGCGTGGAAAAAAGCCTGTCTTGCTGCTGCTGAACAACACCCCGTGCTCCAGGGCAGGAAAGACGGCGCTGGGATATGGACACAGAGCAGTGAGAGGTTTTTGGCTGCTCACGAGCACAGGGAGCTGTACCTGCAGCTCAGGAACTACCTGCCAAGGCAGCACGAACAAGAAACACAAAACGCTGGAAAGGAGGCAAAGGAAAAGGGTGTCCCGGGACTGCCCTGCTGCCAAGGCCCTGTCACAGCTGTAGGTAAGCTAAGGTGTGGATTTTGGCATAATCTACATCTCTGGAGCTCTGCAGAGCACCTGCCACCTTTGCCAAACTTGCAGGGCAGCCTCTCCTAAAATACACCCCTTGAAACACGCAGTCTTGCATAATACTTGTAGCATCAAAGACCTGACAGCCGGCAGCCACAACTTTTCCTGCAGCACAAACGAGCCCTGACTGCGGGCAAGGGCGGCAGGAGCAGCTTCCCGTGGCGGCAGCGGGGGCACAGAGCCTGCTGGTGTCCCCAGCCTGTCCCTCCATCCCCCGAGCCGCTGCCCACTCTGCTGCTTGCCAGCTCTCCCCGTGGCAGGCCCTTGGCCCCTCCTTTCTGCTCCGGCTTCCGCACAGATATTCCTGATTTCATCACTGCCTGCTCCGGGAGCAGCTGAAGGCGCAGCGCAAGAGCGGAGCCCGAGAGGAGAGCTGCCTTCCCCGGGGAGAGGCACCTTCCAGCCGAGCCTGGCACAAACCCCACGGCTCCCAGCTGGTTCCAGCCTGCTTGTCTCCCAGACAAGCCTCCGGCTCTGAGGTGTTCTCACTCCTCCGCCTGCACGTAAATAAAGCGCTCGGGAGGGGTTGTGGAAACGGGGCTGCGCCTGCCCACGCAGCTCGCAGCGCAGGGAACGCCGGGGGGTATTCTGAGGAGTCCTGAGCTCCTGGGGGGCTCTCAGACCCCTCCAGACCAGGACAGGGCACAGTTCACAACAGGAACCACCTTTAAAAAGCTCCCAAAGCAAGATTTCCCTCAGCAAGGTGGAGCGCCCCATAAGTGAGTGTTATTAAACCACCGATGGCAACTGAGGAGCAAAATGAAGGCGTGCAGAGCTCCTGCCCTCCTCACCTGCTCCAAGGCAAACATTTCACCTGTCCCCCCGGCTTTATCACCAGGGATGGGAGCAGGGCCAGCTCAACCTCTGCACTGCTGGGGACAGCACAGCGGCTTACATCACGTCACAGGTTTGGGCTAATTCGGCTGCTATTGATCCAGCTGCAGAAGTTTGGAAAACACTTTGTCAACAACCCCCGCCCCGGCAGAGTGATGCTTTCCCAGAGCCATCCCAGCGGGTGACTTTCCCAGCCCCGAGCCGCTCTCCTCAATGCGGGAATCTCCTTGCAGCAGAGGCAAAGCCACCCCGGTTTGCTGCGGAGCGGGAGGAAGGGGAGCACCGGCTGGATTTTGAGTGACTTCTCCAAGGTTACAAAAAGCATCTGTGGTTTAGGGAGGAAGTGAGCAAACTGGGTGCTTCCTCCCTGAGTGTCAAAGGGAGGAAAGCAAACCTGGTCCAAGCAGGGGTCAGGAGCATCTCCAGGCCCGCTGCCAGGCTCGGAGATGAGCAGTCTGGGGGAGCGGAGGGGCCGGGATGCCGCTGTCCTCCAGGCCCAGGACAGAGACCCAAGGTCGTGGGGAGAGCAGTGCCCACCCTGCCCAGCCGGCCTGCGAGGTTTGCGGATGTGCGGATTTTGCCCCGGGATGTTTGGGGTGGTCCCACCCTGGAATGCTCAGAGGGGTCTGTCGCTAGGATGCTCCAAGAGGTCCCTCGTGCTCGGGATGCTCACAGGGGGCACTCCTTGGGATGACTGGGGGTGTCTGTCCCACCCAGCCGGGGGGTCCCACCCCGGGATGCTCGAGGGTCCCTGCTGGGAGGGTCACTCCTTGTGATGCCTGGGGGTCTCTGTCCCACTTGCCCGGGGGTCCCTCCTTCTCCAGGCCACCGGGGCCCCTCCCCAGGCCCTCTCCCCCGGACTGCCCCCACAACGCCGCCCACCTACCCAGCTTCATGAGGCAGGCCAGGAGGATCCAGAGGGAGATCTCGAAGGGGATGCGGACGTGCGTGTAGTCGATGCCGATGACCGGGAAGGCTTTGCGGTGCTTGGCGTGCCCCTCTCCCGAGCCGTTGGCCGGCTGCTCCTTCAGCGGGTGGATCTCCTCGGGGGCGGCGGGGGGCGCGGGGGTGAAGCCCGGCACGTCCCCGCCGGGCAGCGGCGCGGGCTGGCCCTCGGAGGTGAGCATGGGGTTGGCCTGCAGGACCTGCCCGGGCAGCAGCGGCCCCAGCAGCAGCAGCGCCCAGGGCAGGGCGCGCAGGGCCGCGGCGCCCATGGCGGCGGGCGGGGGGCGGCGGGG